CGTGGCAGGCACAGCACTTTGTGAACCTCCATGTGCAGATTTCGTGGTAGGCACAGCATCTGTGGAGCTGGATCGATTTGTAGTGCAACTTTAGCACGCGGAGTAAGATGAGAACTGGCGACTTTGTTAATTTGTAGTGCGCGGAGCAATCTGTGGAGCTGGAAGCTGAGAACTGGCGACTTTGTAGTACAACTTTAGTACGCGGAGTATCTGGGGAGCTGGAAGATGAGAACTGGCGATTTTCTAGTACAACTTTAGTATGCCGAGCAATCTGTGGAGCTGGAAGCTGAGAGCTGGCGCCTTTGTAGTGCAACTTTAGTACGCGGAGTATTTGGGGAGCTGGAAGAGGAGAACTGGCGACTTTGTAGTGCAACTTTAGTACGCGGAGCAATCTGTGGAGCTGAGAACTGGCGACTTTGTAGTGCAACTTTAGTGCGCGGAGTATCTGGGGAGCTGGAAAATGAGAACTGGCGACTTTCTAGTACAACTTTAGTATGCGGAGTATCTGGGGAGCTGGAAGCTGAGAACTGGCGACTTTGTAGTACAACTTTAGTACGCGGAGCAATCTGCGGAGCTGGAAGCTGAGAACTGGCGACTTTGTAGTACACCTTTAGTACGCGGAGTATCTGGGGAGCTGGAAGGCGAGAACTGGCGACTTTGTAGTACAACTTTAGTAAGTGGAGCAATCTGTGGAGCTGGAAGATGAGAACTGGCGACTTTGCGACTTTGTGGTACAACTTTTTAGTACGCGGAGCAATCTGTGGAGCTGGAAGCTGAGAACTGGCGACTTTGTAGTACAACTTTAGTACGCGGAGTATCTGGCGAGCTGGAAGACGAGAACTGGCGACTTTGTAGTACAACTTTAGTACGTGGAGTATCTGGGGAGCTGGAAGATGAGAACTGGCGACTTTGTAGTACAACTTTAGTACGCGGAGCAATCTGTGGACCTGGAAGATGAGAACTGGCGACTTTCTAGTACAACTTTTAGTACGCGGAGCAACCTGTGGAGCTGAAAGCTGAGAACTGGCGACTTTGTAGTACAACTCTAGTACGCGGAGCAAGCCGTGGAGCTGGAAGCTGAGAACTGGCGACTTTGTAGTACAACTTTAGTACGCGGCTGAGTCATCTCTATTCTGTATTTTGCAAAATGCAAGACAGTTGACGATGGTTGCTTCGCTTTCGCTCCATTGGTCGGTTCCAACTTGTTTTGTCAAAGAACATCGCAGCTCGGCGAATCAGCCTGCCACATAGGTTTATTCTTTTGAAAACTTCCGCCGCCGGCTTGCCCGCAAACTACTATCATTTATGACCCTAATGTAAGTGATTATTCCCAGGGTGTAGCCCGTTGCCAGTCACAGTCGGTAAAAACACATATTACTGCACTATTTGGAGGAAAGGCCTACAACCAGGCCCATCATCATTTACTGGGCCCTGGTCATGGGATATAGATGATATAGATTAATTTATGATCCTAATACCCTATGTAAGTATGTCACTATTCCAGACATGGAAGGTCTAGGATTCTGGGATCAATTGAGTCATGCATCATTCATCGCACCCGGGCTGCAGCCGTTCGGTTGCATGTTGATGCGACCGTTGCTGGACAGCCCCTGAAAACGCTTTGGGGTCCAAAGAATTGCAAGAGCTAAGCATCAAGATGTAGCAAGATGCTATAGGACTTGCTAGGACCCTGTTAGGATTACCCCTGTTAATTAAGATGTGTCAAAATATATCCAAGGGGGTTATACCCCTACATATATAGATGCAGACATAGCCGTAGTCAAAATGTATCAAGATGTATCCCTGTTAGGATTAACTCCCTTTTTCGGACATGCTCTGACATGAGTCTCTTTCAGGGGGATCTACGTGCGGCTTGCATAGATAGATGTCGGACATGTACCATTGAGCATCTCCTGAAAGATACAAATAATTTATACCTGGGCCCTTAAGGGGTGTCCAAGTAGTGTAGAGGCTTCCATTCATGACCCCTTTGAAGGTGCTGGCATATAAATATAATATATATCATGTATATATATATATATTTGTCTATTTATATGCGTGCTTTGCTGTTCTCGTGCTTTCTGGGTCACATCAGTTCCGTCCGAAAGAAGACGAACCAACTGGACAGCCGCAGCTAACTCCCGGAGATTGTTCTGGTGCATTTTTGGTGCGAGTTGGGTCGGCTGGAGTTCCCTCCGCCGGCCGCGGTGGGCCACAGGGCAGTTTCCGGGACCGGGGTTTCTATGGGGTCGTTCTGATTTCGATTCTGGGCGAAACAGTTACACTCCCCGACGGAATCATGGTTAGTATTGGAATTCACCACCTGCCGTGCATTCGGGCAAACATGTCTTGACCTCCAGAGTGGGGTCTTCAGGATCTGCTTGCAGCCTGCAGATCCTGAGGCTTGGAACTCGAGCAGCTGCTGCGTCATGTCCTGGCGCGCGAATACCCGGAATGTGCCTCGCTGGAGTGATTTAAGAGTTCAGATGATGTAGATGGCAGAGTCACTAGACCCACTTGTTGAGTTTCTCATGCCTACCTCCTTGACATACTATTTGGAGGGGTGGGAGTAGGGGGTACCCTGAAGCAGTACACATAGTTTCTCTTGTTCTTTTAAGGTTCTTTTTGTGGAAATCCGTATTCTGTCACATGGATGTGCGCCCATCTGTGCGGCCGGTCCGGCCTATCATGAACACATGGATGCACTTAAACCAGTTTCAAGAAGACACGTCCTGGGTTTGCCAGGTGATCTTGCTGTTGCTCCAAGAATATCCTTAAATTGATTTTACACAGACACACACACACACTATATTTATGTATATATATAACATATAATTAGCCTCCCGTACCGCGTTTCCTGCCCTAGGCCTCGATCCCCAAGATGACTCCCTCCGACCGGCGCTGATGCGGATGCTGCGGCCCATGGGGGAGCGCATGGCCCAGTTGATGGCGCAGTGGTGGAGAGTGGGCTTTTGCCAAGGAAATTTTCAGTCCGAAGCTCTGAGACGAAGGGAGGGGGAGGGAATCCAAGAGGGCTAGTCATATGGCGACTCTTTATAGATGACCAGAGATGACTACCACCTGTAGATGTTCAGCAGATTTTGTGGATGCATTGAGTCCGGTGAGGAGGACCAGTCGTGTGGCTTTGAGGATGTGAGGAGGACGGCTGATTGAGCCAGGGGGAAGGAAAAACAATAGCATTATATCCATACAAAACATGGCATGGGTTCAATAGGTTTCCTGAGTTCTTTTCCCCAATTGATGCAAACATGTGGGGAATGCTTTGCATCGAAAGCGAGTATAGCAGAAGGGATCATTATGATAGTTTATACATGTTTATGCCTGAGACTGCTCAGCTCGGATTGTTCCTGATGTTGCAATCAATATGACTATGATAAACATATATATATATAATATATATATATGATTGTTCTATGTTTTCAGTTGCTGCCTTGTGTTGTTCCTACAATGCTTATATGTTGGGTAGCTAACTATTGAAGGTTTTAGTAGTCCTAGTTGATAACCAAGTGGACAACAACAACAACAACAACAACCCCAAAACAACTACATATGTTTTCTTCACAGCGACCTCGTGTGACGGCTTTTTCCCTTATTTGGAGTGGTGATAGGGGACAAAACAACTAACTCCCAACAACTTCTGATGTGCGCTGCTTCTTTGCTCCATTTTACTTCTTTTGCTCCGCGTTTACACACGGGCAGCCAACACTCCAGTTCTGCCTCGAGGACAACTGCCATCTGGGTGGTCGGACCTTGGACTTCGGGCCCTTTGGATTCCTGGAGCGCTACAACCCTCGCTACTGCCCGCCCGGCGGAGTCTTCCGGGCTGGGGAGGGGAGGTGGACTCAGGGCTGGGAGCAAACAACGACGTGAAACGTGGCACTACCACGAAGCGAAATGTGAGCTCCAAGAAGATGTCTCGGATATGCTGGGATGCTATATATATATAAGCAATATAACATATATATAATGGTGCTTGGATCTTTTGGTGTAAATATAATCACATTGATTCATGGCCGGGATGACGAATGAGGATTGGGCTTGCAGTGAAATACTCAGCCTCGGAATCCGTATGGTTTGTCGGCCAGGAGCCATATCTCACAGCACTTTGAGCAATTGCCAATGCGCAACCAGACCGAAGCGACCAATGCACATCCATCCAGAACAGGTTTCTCACTATCACTAGCCTGTGTCACTAGGTGGCCTCGCAGCCTAGCAAAGAAGTTTCATCCAACAGCAGTTGTATGTGCACAAGACAGAAATCAACACGACTTGCTCAAATCCACACGAGCCATGGTGACAAGAGTTTCAGCTCTTTTGCCGAGTGGTGAGGCCATTGACCTCGAAGTGACACCAGAGATGACAGGTTGGGAGCTCAAGGAGCAGATTAAGACAAGACAGCCCTGGGACGAGCCTACCAGCAGCACGACAGGTGTGGAAATCATTATTGACGGCATGTTGCTGGCCGGTGACGAGAATTGTGTCGACGCAGGCATTGCTGAAGATGCTGTTCTGAGTATTGTGTTCAAAACTAATTTTGTTATATGCTCCAACCAAGACGTGGTTGCCAGTCTCGGCGGTGTCATTGATTACTATGATCCTAAGGAACCGCTGCTTGCAGTCGAAATCCCAAGTGATGAGACTCGAATCCTTGAAGGAGCCTTTGCAGGCTGCTACGCATTAGCCAAGCTGACCATTCCGGATTCAGTGACTCACATTGGGGATCGTGCCTTTCAGGAATGTGATTCGTTAAGGAGTTTGACAATTCCGAACTCAGTGACACACATTGTGGAGTCTGCCTTTTCAGGCTGCAGCTCTTTGAAGAACTTGACCATCTCAGACTCAGTAACCCATATCGAGAAAAGTGCCTTTGCGGGCTGTAGTGCGTTGGTGAACTTGAACATCCCACACTCAGTGACCCACATTGGGGAGTCTGCCTTTTCTGGCTGTGGCTCTTTGGAGAACTTGACCATGCCAGACTCAGTGACCCATATAGAGATGGCTGCCTTTTCCAATTGTTTCTCCCTAACGAGCTTGACGATCCCAGACTCCGTTACACACATCGGGGATCGTTCTTTTGAACAATGCAGCGATTTAGTGAACTTGACCATCTCGAACTCAGTGACCCATGTAGGGAAGCTTGCCTTTGATGATTGCAGCTCTTTGGCAAACTTGACCATCTCGAACTCAGTGACCCACATTGGCGATGGTGCATTTCAGAGTTGCAGCTGTTTGGTTGGTTTGACCATTCCCAGCACAGTCACCCACATCGGAGAGCGTGCCTTTATGGGATGCAGCTCCTTGACAGGCTTGACCATTCCGAACTCAGTGACCCACATTGGGAATGGCGCCTTTGCGCATTGCATCTCGTTGTCAAACTTGACCATCTCGGACTCAGTGACCCACATTGGCGATGGTGCATTTGAGAGTTGCAGCTCTTTGGTCGGCGTGACCATTCCCAACAAAGTCACCCACATTGGAGAGCGTGCCTTTATGCGATGCAGCTCCTTGACAGGCTTGACCATTCCGAACTCAGTGACCCACATTCGGGACTACGTGTTTTGGAACTGCGGCTCTTTGGTGACCTTGGCCCTTCCGGACTCAGTGATTCACATCGGTCATGGTGCCTTTGTGCACTGCAGCGCTTTGGCGAGCTTGACAGTTCCTGACTCTGTAATCCACATTGGGGACGGTGCCTTTTGGGGATGCAGTTCTTTGGAATTGAGAGTCTCCCTCTCTGGGACCAATTCTGGGAGAGATGCTTTCGCCGGCTGCAAATGTCTCATAGCCAAAGAGGCTTGACATCGTTGAGCGTCATGGCCGCCTGTTTAGGACGCTCTATGCTGCGTCCTGGCGTCCCGGGACGCAGCAGAAGGTGCTTGAAAATGCCGCGGTCGTTGTTCAGGGGGTTTGGTATAATTAAGTGGGAGGCTGGGAAAAGAACTGGAGCACATGGCCCCAAACAAGCATCGTGTGCCGATGTGCGGCTGGACATCAATCTAGACTGGGAGTATCCACATGACATCTCATGACGCAAGGGTTTGGCTCCCTCATGACGCATCGCTGGGTGCTTTTCCCTGCTCGACCCATCAAAGCCTGCCCCATGTAGCCGAGAACCTGGCCATGTAGCCGAGGCCCCCAATGCAGCGCTCAGCTGAAAGAGGAGAGCATCACCCGCTCCAACCCTTGGTCCTGGAGAGGCCTAGTTTACACTTTGTTTGGGGGGGCCCTTCCAAAACTCTTGAGTTTGAACATGGACTCGTATGAGACTTTTGTTTCACTAGGACAGGAGAAAGGGTCAAAATACTCTGAGACATCCTTTTCGGTTGAACCGGATTCTACTCCGCTGAAGACTAACATGGGCCATGAAAGCCACTGGTTGTAGAGGACAACTGTCTTTGAGGGTGCCATTTGATCGGGTCCATATAGTTTTTGGGAGTGTAGTCCTAAGTGGCGTATCCAATGATTCCGATTTGTTGCATCTCAGGGTCCTTTGGCTTGGTCAACCTCAGTGAGTTCTCCCATAACGTCCCGGGGGTGAGGAATGGACTTATGTGTTCAATGGACTTATGCCAGGTATACCCAGGGCTCCAAGTACCTCCTCCTCAAGAGGTAGGTATTTGGAATTAGAGGCACGTTTGGCAATCTTACAGCAATTTGGCCAAATTGCCGCAACCAGACGGACGCGACCAACGTATTACTTATTGTCATGTTTCTCACCAGGTGACTGGCAAAGAAGCTTCATCCAACGGCAGTTGTATGTGCACAAGACAGAAATCAACACGACTTGCTCAAATCCACACGAGCCATGGTGACAAGAGTTTCAGCTCTTTTGCCGAGTGGTGAGGCCATTGACCTCGAAGTGACACCAGAGATGACAGGTTGGGAGCTCAAGGAGCACATTAAGACAAGACAGCCCTGGGACGAGCCTACCAGCAGCACGACAGGTGTGGAAATCATTATTGACGGCATGTTGCTGGCCGGTGACGAGAATTGTGTCGAAGCAGGCATTGCTGAAGATGCTGTTCTGAGTATTGTGTTTAAAACTAATTTGGTTGTATGCTCCAGCAAAAGTGCAGTCGCCATTCTTGGCGGTGTCATTGACGATGAGTACTATGACGCCAATGAACCCCTGCTTGCAGTCGAAATCCCAAGTGATGAGACTCGAATCCTTGAAGGAGCCTTTGCAGGCTGCTACACATTGGCCAAGCTGACCATTCCGGATTCAGTTACTCACATTGGGGATCGTGCCTTTCAGGATTGTGATTCGTTGGTGAGTTTAACAATTCCAAACTCAGTGACCCACATTGGGGAGTCTGCCTTTTCAGGCTGCAGCTCTTTGAAGAACTTGACCATCTCAGACTCAGTAACCCATATCGAGAAAAGTGCCTTTGCGGGCTGTAGTGCGTTGGCGAACTTGCACATCCCAAACTCAGTGATCCACATCAAAAGCGATGCCTTTGCAGGTTGCAGCTCTTTGGAAAACTTGAATATCTCGGACTCAGTGACTCTCATGGGAGACGGTGCTTTTGAGTATCCTGTTTTTTTTCAAGGTGATTCTTTCATATATTTTTCATATTTTCCCTATTGGCCCCACGGATCCAAGTACCTTCTCAGCAGGTGATGTGTTCGACACCGCTATGTAGGTTTGGAGGGTGTACTTGGATCCCTAGGGTGGGTAAATCCCTTTTCTGGATTTTCTGGTGAATATATATATATATATGTCCGTGTCCTTAAACAAGTCCAAGGTATTGCACATCCTTGGTGAGCTTGACCATCCCACACTCGGTGACACGCATCGAGAATTGTGCCTTCTCGGGGTGCAGCTCTTTGGCAAACTTGACCATCGCAGGTTCAGTCACCCGCATTGGGAATTCCGCCTTCAGCTCTTGCGAATCATTGATGACATTGACCATTCCGAACACAGTGGCGTACATTGGGGACGCTGCATTTGAGCATTGCAGCGGTTTGGTTGGCTTGACCATTCCCGACACAGTGACCTACATTGGGGAGCGTGCCTTTTTAAATTGTACCTCATTGGTGAGCTTGACCATTCCGAACTCAGTGACCCGCATTCGGCACTATGCTTTTTGGAACTGCAGCTCGTTGGTGAACTTGACCATTCCAGACTCCTTGATCGGAATTGAGAATGCTGCCTTCAAGAACTGCAGCTCTTTAGTGAGCTTGACAGTTCCTGACTCTGTGACCCGCATTGGGGACGGTGCCTTTCAGGGATGCAGCTCTTTGGTGTTGAGAGTCTCCCTCTCTAAAACCAAGTCTGGGAGAGAGGCCTTTGCCGGCTGCAAAGATCTCATAGCGAAGGAGAGTTGATATCGCGGATGGCTAAGACAGGTTTCGAACAGGCCGCCTGTTGGTTTCCAGGCGCCACGGACCCGCTGATTGAGCACCCAGAGCCGCCAAAGGTGGTCAAATGCAGCTGTTGTTTGCTCAGGAGACTTGAGCTGGTGTTCTACTTGCTAGTGAGCAACCAGCGTTTACCCTCCATTCAGCCCTGATATCCACCACCTCCATTGTGTCTTCATAAGTTTTCCAAACGCTGCCAGTGCTATAACTGCTCCTGATTGGAGGGATAAACACAGATCCAGAAGTGAACCCAGATCAGAACTTTGATATTTTCTCGTGACCCTCCAAATGTCACATCAGATCCCGTCAATGAATCGCGACCGTCCCTCACTCGTTGCTCCTTCTGTCCTTCGTCCAGGTAGCTGGTCCGGTGGCGCCGAACACTTCAGCTTTCGACTCCTGGGCCCCACGATGGGGGACCGGGACGGGCTCGTGCGGTTTGACGGACTCGTTTGGACTCCTGGGAGCGATCGAAGTATGAAGCATGCCGGCACCCGAACCCGTCTGGACTCTGGGCTGGAGGGTTGGGTGTTCGGCCCGTGCCGAGGTTTCAATTTGGTGACCTGTGAAGTCAAGTCGGTGCTGGTTTTTATGACATGTATATTCACCATAGACCCGGCCCGAAAGCTGCCAGGTCACCACTCCGTTTAAGTCTACAAAAGCCTCCAGAGCAGACCTCCAACGGAAGTTAGGTGTCCCATTTTCTACTTTGGAGGGTTCCAGGTTTGTGTTTGATCTTGTCTTCGTGACATTTTCTGGTCTCAGCCCCCAAGCGGTGCTGTTTGGATCTTGATTTGGACGTTTGTTCTTGTTGAAGCTCCTTGGAAGAGCATTGTCCTTTCGAAAGGGTTACTGGTAATCCTGTTTTTGCTCAAGATAATTTTTGGTGTATTTTGCCAATGGGTAAATACCTATAAATACCCATTTGGGGTGTTTGCTTTATTGTTCAAAATTCTTAAGCAAAGCCCAGTAATGGGATGTGCCCAACGCACGTTTCCAAAGCTACGACATAAAAACCCAGACAAACTCATAGGTGAGCATAGGCGGTGAGTGGTAGATTGCAATGTCTTGGACCCTTGGAGAGGCGTTCGAGACAATCCATTTGACCTTGATTGTTGGTTGGTTGGACTGGTTGCATGTCGGTTGCAATTTCAATCTTCCAATGGCCATGTTTATTGCATAATTTGTTGTGCTGAATGGCTGGAGAGAGGGTCACATCGTGTGGGGAATGTTCCGATTCTATGCTGTTCTTTGCTCAGACAACCAGGCTACGCCCAGGGAGTGGAATCAATGGTGGCAACAGGTTTGTAGCTGATTGACTGCCACGCCATGTCCGATGTTATGTGAAACACCAGAGGGGCAGATAACAAGTTCTTCCTCACCCCCCACCATATGTGTCGGATCCTTTTTCTCGGACTTGGCCTGAAGGAACAGCACTTCCGCCAGACTGACCCTGCGTGTGTTTTTTTTGTCCATTGTTTGTGGCACGGGTTCGTACTACCGTACCAAGAGAGGTTGAACAGCCCTAAGGTCGCCCATCCCATACGTAGCACTATGGGGTCCTAGTTCAGGATGATCAGGTCTCTCAACCTCTCAACCGGATATGCGTGTTGTTTCCTCCCAACATCAACACCCTCGAGGATTGCAACCCAAAGCTGCCTTGCAGAACTTGGCCAGCGCGATCCGTGCCGTGGATGATCGAGATCAGCGGCGGACTCGTCCAACGAGACGCTTGTGTTGGGGCGGTTTTGTCAGCGAGTGATGGGAGGTCTTCCAGCGAGTGATGGGGGTGATGGAAGTGAGCCATTTGGCAGGTGGCAAAACTGGCTGCTTTCGAAGGCGCTCTATCAAACATCCAAGGCGTTGAAGCTGAGGAAACGGTGATTACGGCCAAGCCTGGGTAAGGCAAGACGCATGAGTTTGGATCCGATTTGATGGAGCTTGGAGGGGAACAAAGTAAAAAGCAATACTTATACCAGCACCTTCAAAGGGGTCACCAATGGAAGCCCCTACACTACTAAGGGACCTCCATTGGACACCCCCTGAAGGTCCAGGTAGGATCCTATTTGAGTTCCACGTCCGTGACCTTTCGAGCTGGCCCGGCCCGGCTTCAAGGGCTCCCTGTCAGCCGACAAAGACACGGCGGTCTAAGGCGGGGGTTGTTCCCATAAAACCAGGTATATATGGGGCCTAGGTTAGGGGATGCCTAGGCAAACCCTGGATCCTATCCCAGGCTAGGTTAGGGTCTATCATACTTGTAGGGCCTATCCCGCGGCTAGGATAGGGCCTGTGATACAGCCTATCCAAGGTTGGGATAGGGTGTCGGCTTGTTTTGAGGTATAACAGGATAGGCCCGGGGGCCTGTGGCCACCCACCCTGTGGGCCTCACCCACTCTGTGGCCCTGTAGCCGGACCTGTGGAGCCACCGACGTCTCCAAGCCCACTTGCAGCCTGTCGAAGTGGACGCACGTCTCGTCGCTGCGTCGTTTCGGCGTTTCGTCGTTTTGACATGGCCGACTCATGTGCCTTGTAGAAGCTTCAACCCCTTCGCAAGCTTGGGCTGCTGTTGGCGGACGTTTGCAGAGGGGTTAGGGGGGGGGGGATCCTTGAAGTCGATTTTTGGAAACCTGTTTTTCCAACAGAGGTGGAGAGTGACCTGAACGTTCGGACCCGGAAAACCTGGGGTACCCAATACCCAACTAGGATTATATCGATGGTCGAGTTCGTTCGGGTTCTGATCCACCTCAGGTTTTTTTTCCGCACCGGACCGACGACTGCACCGCACCGCACTGGACCGGGAAGTCCGGTGGACCGGTTCAGGTGCCATGGACTGCCTTTTGGACAGCGAGGGCCGCGAGGAGGGACAGCAAGTGCTGCGCGACTTCCCGGCATTGCTGGCAGAGGCCTTCGCAGAAGCCCGTTGTGCAAGGCGAATACGCATGCGTATACGCTAGGTGAGTTATAATGTTGTTATTAAACCTATGGGGGAATCCCCTCCTGCAGGGAATATCTTACAAGACACTTCCGAAAACTAACATGGAAGTGGATGGCACCACCTGTTTGTCGTGGAGGAACCCTGGTCTTCCAGGGCCGAACCTCGGGGCCCTCGGGGCCAGGCCATCCACCTTCCACCATGAGAACCGTTGGACCAAGGGAGTGTTAGTTCCATGTTTCCCGGTTCCTGGCGGCCACGAACCGAGGAAGTGAGGATGGAGAAGTTGGGCCTTTGCTTCTGGGCGCCTTGGACGGTCTTCCCCGAACACCGTGGATGGAGAAGACTGGGAAGCAGAGGATGGGAACCACAGGAGGTGCACTTGGCATTCTGCAAGTGCTCCTTTGGAGGTGCAAGTGGTATGTCAGTTGAGAGGTACCTGGTGAGTTTGGCGTTGGAAAAAAAGCCGTTTGGTGGCTTGGAGCCTTTCCACGATTTGAGCGTAGTGGACTATGACATTGATGGGTGAGGAAGGGCTAGGGATAAGGTGAATCAGAATCCAAAACGCTTGGTTTGGGTCGTTGGACGGAGTAGAAGGTGAGTGATTGGTAAGAACGGGTGGATGGTGACATATGGTGACTTGGGTGTGTTTGCGGCTAGCCTTTCTTGGTGCTTTAGCCTTTGGGAGACTTGGATTTGAATGTGGAGGATGGTAGAGGAAAGGCGGAGCACACAAAATGGACACATGAACCGTGGCAGGGTGTCACAGTCACAGACTTTACAAAAGACTCATGAAAACTCTTTTGTTGAGAGTTGCTAAAACATGCTGAAACCCATAACACACGCGAGTGAACATGGCACGATGCGCACCTTGATGCGCCCAATCAGGCAGGCTGATAACTTTTCTCCACCAACCCGCCACGTGAAAACATGTGGGTCGCTTTGGGCGCGCAACACAGGTGCTGCCTTTGGCCGTGCGGCGCGGGTGACTCCCGACGATCTGGACCTGTCATACCTGCCACTTCCTGAGCCCTATACAGAAGCGCCCTCCATACTGTTTTGGCCTGAAGCTACAGATCCCAAAGATGAATCACCACTGTTCGCTTCAAACCTGCAGGCACTGGAATCCACAACTATGCCCATCCCAACAATTTGTTTAGATTCCCTCCCTCACCTTACATCACTCCATCACTCCACCAACCTGATCACCCCATGACATACCCTCCTGCAGATGAAGACACCCTGGTTTCACCACCCACCTTGGAGGACCACCATCTTCCAGAACACCCCGGCCGCGCTGCGGATTCCGTCCGTTTCTATAGGAAGAACACCCCTGGGCCGTCCCGCGGCCTCCGGATGGCGTCCGTCCCTCGGAGGACTCCGACGCCGCGCGCTTGTGCGACGAGCTGCTGCAGCTCATGGAGGCCTCCGCCGCCGATTGGACCCTGCTCTGGCGCCGCCTCGCCGACGTGGCGCAGGCGAAGAGCCGCGGTCGGTGGAGAAGGGTCGCTGTGGAAAGCGGGGACAAGCGGAGGGGGATTTGGGGTGAAGAAACATTGGTGAACAAGTGGAGCAAGTGGTATTTTGCATAGGCATGTGGTTTTTGGATGGGGTGAAGTGAAGTTCACAGGCGTACTTAGTTTGTTACTGGTAGGAGGGAATGGCTTCTGGGGTAGGAATGTGAGGCAGACGCTGGATTGAGAAGATCGATCGCCGAGTTGAGAGTCCAATCGGTTCCATCAGGCCCAGGTTTGTAGTCATACGCACCTATATATAGACTTCCAAAATAGATCTAGGGTTTGATTGCATTCTCCAGGTTTATCAGGATGATTCTCATGATCCTTGCTCGGCCTTCACCATCACCTGGAAGTTCGGCCCGGCCCCTCTAGTTTCACCACCTGGGTCGATGAATCACAGGGGGGGAAGGACTGGGACGAGCTGATGGAGGGCGGAAGGCTCTTGGAACCTCTCCAAGGAAGACACTTGGTACTGGACGGGCTGGGTGGCCGCTGGACGGGCTGGGTTGAGGGAGGGAACCCATACCGAATCCAGTTGCTGCCATACCGAACCCTCCAGAAGTTGGTGTGGCTGAAATAAAGCTTCAACTCCAAAAACCATCGGACCACCTTTTTATCCTTTTTTGGGGGGGTTCTCAGTCAATTACGGGTCAAATGACCATCAAATGACCTACTGCCAAGTTATCAAATCATTCTGCGATGTTATGCAATGATGTTGTGTTTGTTGCAAGACCGGTGGTTCCAAAAGCTACCCCGTTCTACACCTCACAAGAACGGCTCTTTTTGACACCCGTCTGACGCCCGGAGATGTGTCGCAGACAAACCCTTTCCACCCCCGTGGGAGCGAGACCTTCTCTTCTCTTCTGAAGTGATCCAGCCCGAAACGGAAAGGGAAAAAACCACAGAGGTTTGAGGTTCATACACTATTCCATAGGTACCAAGTCGTAGGGTCCAAACGTGGCTACCTCAAAACAGCTCAAACGAAGAAAAGAGACGGGGAGGTCTCCACCGTGTCGAGGCCTTACCCACCCGTGCCCGGACCAGCCCCGGACGCCGCGGAGAACGGACGCCGCCCGGACCGGCGGGACCTCGCCACTTGCTCCCAGGCTTCTACTTGCCCTTGTCTCCTGAGCAGCTTGGAGATCGAGATTCTGGATGTGACGGATGTGTTTTCGTTTGTGTCTACATGTTTAAACCAGCACCTTCAAAGGGGTCACCAATGGAAGCCCCTACACTACTAAGGGACCTCCATTGGACACCCCTTGAAGGTCCAGGAAGATAGGTGGTGGTTTCAGATATATGTTTGAAGATGTTTGATGTTCAACCATGTTCAACCTTTACTTGGGATGATTTCTAACCCACTTACTCACGATTTTTGTGAGTGAGTTGAAACCACACAGAGCTGATCGCCATGAGTTAGAATTCAGTTTGTACGGCAAACAACAACAGTTTTCCACCACCCCAAGGGTGGTTTTTAGATGGAAAATTGATAATCACAGGGTCTATAAACAACCCTTTGGGTGATGTATATTATATAATATAATAGTTATATATATATATCAATTAATGTTTAACTGCCATCATCAGGACCCAAAATAAAGAAAATCACACGCATGAACTTCAACTATATTTTTCACGGCCAAACATATATTGTTATCCACTTCCGAATTTGTTTCAAGGCCATTATTTTGTGGGGAAAGATCCGATCATGACCTTCAAGGGCGGGCGGAGCTAACTGGCTGGCCCACTTCGTCTATAGGCAGCAGCATTTGGGAGACCAGATCCCAACAATAGAGATCCTCCGAACCAGCAGGATGGCGATCCACCTTGATTCAGTGCCGGCTCGTAGATGCTTGAACAGGCTTGATTGCTTTCATCCCGATGTAGATGGAGATCCACCGAACAGAACAAGCACATACCACTTCCGAACACCCCGATTGTGAGAACCCCGTCCTGCCCAGCAGCCTTTTCTGTGTCCCCCGAAGCTGCTCCACCTGCGCCTCCATTCCAGGCTGGAGGCTGCTTGGAGCCGTTGGCTCCTACGGTGGCTCACCCGTTTGCAAGGCGAAGGCGACTGCGAAGAGGTGGCACAGCAGATGAGACGGGTGAAGCTTGGAGACAGATGATGTGCTTGTGAGACAGAAGGGAGTCCGATAAAGACGAGTAGACCGTCTATAGGCCAATTGGGTGCTTCTGGAACTTGTTGGTATACACACTTGGGATAGAAGGGATAGATAAGAGGTTCGCATAGCTACTTGGAAGACTTTAGGAAGATTTGTCTCTCAAGGAATCTCAAAGATAGTATCAAGGGTATACTGTATTTTGTGTCTAAAAATGTTATTTTTCTTCATGTTACTGTTTGGTGGTGTGTATGTCCGCTCATACTCCTGATCCAAATACGATCCCTGGAACTACCATGGGGGTGGAAACGCCTTTTGTTTGTAGAGGAACATGATTCTTGGGGCCCTGTTCCACTTCCAGGACGCCTATCCAATGAGCTTGTTCCTTTGCCCTATCAGGAATCCTAAGTATGTGCCGCGGAATTGGATGCTGATGGAGGCGATGCAGAAGCTCCGTAGCTACATGCAAGGTTGCAAGGTCTTTGCGGATTGGGTGATTTTTTCCTGAACTGGCTTAACATATGTGGCAGGGGGGATGTTTGTTCATTTTTCCAGGTTCCTAAAGCAAATCCAAGGATTTGAGAGTGCCCTACCCGGGAAGTATGTAGATCACATGTTAAAACCTCTTTTGGGGCGATGCATTGACCGAACATGAACAGGTGTAACAAAGCTAGGGGTAACCTTCATTTTCCAGGGAAACCCAGGGAGTCAGGATACAGGATGTATGTATATTATATAACACAATATATTATAATGTAATATATACTATTATATAGAATATTAAAAAATATATACATCCATTCAGGGTATGATATCTACTGTAGGAACTGTAGCCACAGGAGCCAGAAATCCCCATCGGGTGAATGCAACATGAGTTCACTGAGTCCTGGCATGGAACTTTGACCACTGAGATGCACACGACCAACTACTGGTTCCCCGCCAAATGTTTAAACCCAAGAGAATAAGAGCCAACATGAGGGGTACGCTCTATGCTTGGCACACTCCATAAAACAGAGCAAAGTGTTGTGCTGAACTCCTGAAGCATAGAGTAATAGCTGGAGCTGTCGTATAAACCCTGGGAGTGCCCAGACTATATCCAAGAACGGTGTTTAGGTGGCAAGAAGAATTTCCTTGAGTTCAGTAGGCCAAAATATAGGCTTTGGACTTCGAGGTTGGGCGTGCTTTTTTAAACATGCAACAAGAAGGTTTTGTTGGCCTTTCTCAGCGAAGAGAAAACAAGGAGGCCGCCCTTCACACTTGGAGGCCTACGAGGCGGCGGAGGCAGGAAACTTCCAAGTGGCACAGCGCTTGCAGCAGCGCCTTGGATGAAGGCAGCAGATCCCGAGATCATGGCAGTTCTGTATGGATTACATATGGTGTTGAGTGGGGACTCATCCGATGCCGGATATGTTGGAGGGCCGTCATGTCCAGGGTTGATAGATGTTGATAGACATGTTTCGTGGAGGTCTATGGGATTGCCGCTTTATAATGTTTGATGTTCATTTGTTGGCATACGTTGACATGTCCTTTTAAAGGGGGTCGTCTCTATAATGAGCATCCCTGCAGGAGTAAATCTTGGTTATATATATATATTTCTATCTATCATACAGTATCATATATATATATATACATATCTTCTGGGTGCCAGTGTGGTTGGGTATAAGGAGCAGCCTGGAGCTTACAAAAAAGCTGTGTACATGTATTTCCCCACCATCGAATTCCCCCTTAAGGCTCAAGGGAAGAAACCAAAGTGGTGTACATGGTTCCTTGTAGGATTTCCCTTCTTACCACTCCATTGACAATTTGGTAATTCTCAAAGCCTGCAGCGCACGCAGGGCTGCAGGCTGCCTGCAGCTTTGATCCAAACCTGGTAGCCCCGGTTGATCCGTTGCTAGCAGATATCAACCTCGATTGACCTATCGACCTCGTGTTTCACCGATGTTGGACCTCCTTTGTAACAGGAAAAGGCCATAGTTCCTTCCAAAAACACTTGGAGGACCGGCAGATTCGGACTTTCCAGCTCCATGGTGCCCACACCGGTGCACCTCCCCCCCCGGCGCCGGTGCACCTCGCGCCGAAGCGCACCCTCCGTCGCGGTTCTTGGGCCGAGCGCAGCGAGGATCTTCGCGAGCCCGTACGAGGAGCATCCCGAGGCAAGCGGAGAAAGCGGAGAACTTGAGGAGTCGGCCGAACTGCCCAGCGATTTCGCTGGGGGAATTGATTTTACTGGGGGGGGGTTGAAGTTTTGAGCTTATATAGTTGGTTTGAGTCTAAGTCTTGTGGGAGGATTTAAGTTTTTTTCTGAAAGGCATGGACTTGGTCTTTGCTCGTTGTCCTGCGGGATGAGGACTCGTCGAATCCGAGCGTCGTATTTCCTGACAGGACGAAGCTCGGTATTTCCGTCTGGCGCCGGTGGAGATGCGCACGCGGCCGGGGGTCTTTGTGATGAGCTGATCTTCGTAGGAACGGAACCAGCGTGTGGAGACGAGGTTGGTGGAGCAGAAGCTGGATCGAATGGATCTATGAGAGGGTATAATCATAGACGCTTAACCCACCCCCCCCCATGACCTCCCCCCCCTTGAAATCCTTAATCCTGCCTTATTTCCAGAGAGAGGATTTAAGGCCTAATTAGACTTTAATTCCTTGGAGCTCACTAAATGTGAGGAAAAGGAGATTGCTTGGAGACTTCAATCATGAAGACTGAATCCATCATCAGTCATCATCTTAGATCTTGTGTACATCAAAGTCATCCCCTAGAAGTCCAAAGACTATTTTCAGCAACACCCAAGTACAGTACAGGAAGTTCCTTTTCCTCTTATAATAAGAGACCAAAAGAGGGCCTGAGATCACTACCCCCTTGCGGTGCTTGACCCCCCCGGAGGGGTCAAAATTGTAAATTACATTTTTGGATTTTACAACAATAGCCTTATATAGCCCTATAGGGGCGGGGGGGTGAAAATTGTAAGATCTAGGGTTGAGGTAGCCTATGTGAGGATGTTACTTTTTTTGACCCCCCCCTGAAAGAGGTCTTGGCCTACTTCTGGAGACTTTGAAAGGAGGGAGGAGGGGGGGGGAATTGTAAGAATCTATGGGTGGGTACCACACAGAGCAAATGACAATTTCCCCCCCCCCGGTCGACGTTGTACGAGTGTGCTGCATGGTCCGGGCGACGAGCCGCTGGACGCTACGCTGTCGATGGGCGAGAGCACATGGCCCATGAGGTGAGCCTGCTTCGAGAGGGAGGAGTAGGGAGGTCAATGTAGACTCTGGACTTCTCTAGACTCTTGATTAAGAAATATATATTAAGAACCCCCCACACAAACAGGTACGAGAGGGAAATTGTAAGTTACAATTTTGAAGGTGAGGGTCCATCCTTCTACCTCAACCTCAAAATTGTAACTTATAACTTTTGAGCGCGTGCAGGCCAAACAAACACACACAGCGTCACAAATGTAACTTACATTTTTGACCCCTGTCTTGTGAGATGGAGGTATATCAGACCTGTATGTTCAATTTTCACCGTTTTCCAAAACCTGCATTTTGACACACCCGAAATTGTAAATTACATTTTTGACCCCCCCCCCGGGGGTAAGGCAGCAGTGATGGCCTGAGAGTTTCAGAATTTCAGGCAGATGTGGATGAGGCCTGCTGCTACGGCTATGCCATAGGGTTCTTCAAGCTGTTCAGAGGTCAAATTTCAGGGGGCGATGTTGGAACGACCGAACAGCAAAGCGGAGTATAACGGAAGTGGAGACGGGAGTCAGGTTTGTGAAATCATTCTTGAACTCTAGTGGCACCCAGCTTGTGCCATAGTTTTTTCTCGACAAGAAAACCGGCGGGATGTGGGGAGGGGGAAAGCCACAACTTGGGTAGCAAACAAAGGACTCCTCTTTCATCAAATTTCTGTATCGTCTGGAATTCTGGAACAGCTCGTTGATTGCAGACGTCCTTGCCAGGGGACCGGTGCCAGTCACCCGTCAGTCGCCAAAGAAGGCTTTATCAATACCTGGTAGGTGGGTCAGTCGGCATATGTCGTTTTCACACTGATCATAAACACCAGGCGGCCAACTACTGGAGAAGGTAATTTAGAAGGCAAGGGTAGGGAGTGGTGTTGAAGTATATAATTGACTCATTTCTCAAAACCGCGTGCTGAGCTAGTCCGTCCACCCCGCAGATGAATGATGCCCAAGTGGACCGTCTTTGCTTGGGCAGAGAGTTTTGCAGAAAGGTGGGCCGATGCGTTGTTCCTGCCGCCTGGAAGAAGAGGCAGCGTCGCTTGCAGATGTCCCAGCTGAAAGCAAGTCCAGAGTCCTGTATCTATTGGTTTCTGACGGTCAAGAGGAGGCAACAGGCCAAACATATCCAAACATAGTCGATGAGGTTTGATGGACTGAAATGCATGGAATGCCAACATAATGTAGACTCTTGATTAATAAACCACCCCATATGAAGATGTTTTTCAATCCAACTGGGGTGGGGTCATTAATCAAGAGTCTACATTATCTATATTCCAAACATTTCAAATGGCCCAGTTGCTTCACCTCACCAGTCATCAGTTCAGCAAGTCTTGACACCTGTTCCCGCCGGGGAAGTATCGCTTTTCCTGGATGGCGTGATTTTGGAGGGTCTTCTGAAATCGTCCACACCCCCTGCAGTTACTTCCCAGAACTTCTTGCCATTTACTTTATAATGTGCCTTTGCGCGTCCTCTTACACCTGAACCATCCAATCCTGAAGACTTGCAGATCTGTTGGGAATCCGAATCCGTCCACAAGAAACATGGGGCAAAGCTCACCCCACAGACACGGAAACCGTTTTCCTCGCGGAACGAAAAGCATTTGTTTGCGGATCTTTGCGGGAGGTGGTCGGTCAAGAGACGCAGTGGCACACCTTGGGTTCTGGAGAGGTGCACCTTCGTGTTTCTCATGGTTGTGGTTCAATAGAAAGGATGACCCAGGACCCGCAGCTCACAGGCCAATCAAAGAAGCTAGAGGTCATAGCTGTCATAGCTTTTGCGCAGGAGGATCCTCCCAGAAGCCGACGCAGCTTGTGTTCACTACCACTCACTGTGGACCTCAATTCAAAGATTTTTGCTTTGTGCGAATAGTCTTGGAGGGAGATGGAGGAAGCAATTTGCAGAAGGCAAACTTCAGGAAGCTCTTGAACCCAGTGGATACGACATGATAGGAGCATCAGAGTGAGCATCAGTTTTCTACGCTTCCTGAAATCATCATGGAAGTGGAAAAACCGCCCGCTGTGGTCGTTTTCGGAACATCTCCCAGACACGACCCGTCTGGGACTGCCAGTCCGTTCTGCCGCCCCAGAGTCTGACGCCGTGAAACTCGGCCGTCCGAATCGGCAGTCCCGTCGACGGGTCGTGTCTGGGTATGGTCATCCTTTCGGATTTCTGGGCCATGCCATCCATGGTGCCTGATGACTCCCCTGCACAGGACCACATGGGGTGCCACAACCACAACGGGCCGTGGGTCGTAGAGGAAAATGGTCGAAAGCACGACGGGTGAAGTGTCAGGGTCCATGTTAGTCTGCCGGGCATGGCGTGTGCTTTCGCTACGCTGCAGCTTTGGCCCAAGAAGTCGTGTCACCCCGTCGACTGGGCAACCGCCGAGCGATTACCACGCTCAGAGTGCGGTGCTCAGGGGCGCGGGGGAGAAAAACTATATATGAAAGGTCTTCCAGCACCCGACTTCACAGGTCACCACCATCTTTCAGTCTTCAAAAGCCACCATTTCGGAGACCTGTGGGAGGGTGCAGGGAGAATGTAGCAGTGAGTTTCAGGACATCATCCCGATTTTGGGGGCCAGAGGCGTTTGGATCCTTTGGCTTCAGCTTCTCGACGCCTAAAGATGCTTATAAGTCTAGGAAGGCTAGGGCTAGGGCCGGCGTAGCCCAATGACATGAATCGCATGAATCCCAGTGGTGCTTTCACGATAGTCCTTCCGCTCGGGAAGTCGACGGAGGTTCTTTTCGAGCCGAGAGGGGTGTTTTAAAACATATCAAAACGATGAAACCTTACGTAAGTCTCCCTAAGTTAGCAATCAGTGCGAACGGTTTCAGGGGTCACCATGGAAATTTGTGGTTGCGTAAATGTGTCCAGTGTTTATTTTAAAAAACACAGTTTTTCTTTGAATAGTAAACACATGTCAACTAAGAAATATTGCACAAATTAGATCATATATGAGCTTAAGTATTTAGTTTAGAGTTTCATTTTGTTTCATGTGTTGTTCATAAATGTGCAAACACTGCTGGCAGTTTGACACATCCATGAATAATATATATGTACGTTTTTGTCCAAGGGCCGTTTCGTTAATGTTCGTCGCTCTTGTTGGAATTTGCAATTTCACACATCAGGTGACACTATTATAATAAACATTATACATCAACATATTGCGCAATATATTAAACACAGATAGTGGAACTCATGCAAAACCAACACCCACGAATGTCAGAATGAGGCTCCTACGGCTCCTTGTCAGGATCACAGACCGTTTGTTTTTTACAGCCAGGTCCTTAGAGCACCTGTGCAACCAGACCCCCAAATAGATAGAAAGGTAGATCCCAAAATCAATTGGAAACCGTGCAATCCTATTTGGGGACAATAAACAATTACAGATCTGTTTAACTGGACACGTGTTCCTAGGTGTGGCGCTTACCGTGGCGCGCCGTTTTTACATGGTGTGCTGCATGGCCCGCATGGTGACGCATGTAAAACAGTGCAATGTATGACCATAGACACAGGGCCAGGCTGGCATGTATGACCGACTACTAAGTACTCCTAGATCGCGCCAGGATCACGTTCCAGCCCATCCAGCTCAGCTGCGAGTTTCTCGTCTCGGAACCCGATGGCGGTGGACCACCCACCCACAGTGATTGATCTTTGGATAGAGGTAGCCTTTGAGCGTCTATAGTTAATGCGTTGGGCCAGTCTGCAATGTAATACATTTGAATGTATATATGTTTTTTATGTTTTTTTTTTTTAACGTGCCTTTAGTGCCCTGCCTGTTCTGATGATATGATTATATAGTTCCAACAACTGATAGAAGAGGATGGTGAAACAAATGCTTTCCCCGAGTGGCATCAAAGCTCCTTGCAGTTCAGCGCGGCTCCGACTTGGTCTTCACATCCATGTTTGAACACCTGACTGGTTGCCTCGCTCAGAAATTCCGTGAGCTCGCTATGCACAGCCTGCGCCTGGCACTGCTTGGGGGCCCAGCCACAGATTTCCAGAGTTTCTGAACTTGTGAACTTTGAGATGTTTTCGGAGATGAAGAGCCATGAAGAACACACAGGAACAGGTGGCAGGTTTTTTTGGGACTTAAAAACGTTGCAGGTGGCAGGTGATGACCTGTCGGAGGGTCCTGGTAGAGGGTCTTTTCTAGTCAGGTTGACCAATCCCGACAGTTACATAGGTCATTGGAACAACCTGTTTCTACGTCTCACGATCGGATCTTCCAGATACAAAGCTGCCAGCTACATCCCTGAAGTTGGTGAAGCTACCCCGTCAGTGGATCACCTTATTTAAGCCTTTGTTCGGTGTTTG